AAATTATAAATATACACTTTAATAATGATTTAAAATAAAAATTATCTCTTGTGATTTAGAAAATTATAAATATTCTTTTGTTACAATTTTTTATTTAACAAAATTAATAAAAAAATAAAATTCATAATTACTCTCCTATACAATAATAAAACTATTTAAAATTTTAATTGAAACATATTTCTGATATTATTAAAAAATGTTAATTGACTTAATGATTTATTAATAAAATGAGCGATTTATTATGAAATTAAAAATCTGAGGAGATAGAATATAATTTTCAAAATTACAAAAGACGATTTACATTTTAATCAAACCTCAAAATATATTTATAATTTATCCATAAAAAAATTTAATGAGATAACCGATAGTTGGAGACAGCGAGAAAGAGAAGTGGGTCAGTATCATAAAGGAAAATTCGGGAAGGAAAGCAAAAATCAGACAAAAAGGGAAAATGTGGTCATGTTTCATTTAATTTTTGAAATAAGTTTTGAATTTTAAATTATATTTTAAAAGATAAATTTTTGAAATGAGATTTAAAAATAGAAAAAAAAATTTGGTTATGAGTTTTAAAACTAATTTTTGAGTTGGATATTTTAAAAAATTATTTGGTTATGAATTTTGAAACTAATTCTTTTATTTAATTTATTTTTTTGATTTTTTATTTTTGTAAAAAATATTTATTTATTTATATTTTTCAAACAAAATATTTTTTTATTTTTTAAAAATTATTTAAAAAAATTAGACAAAAGTTTTTTTAAAAAAAAAAATTGAATATTTTAATTTTTTTACATATTTTAAATATATTTCTTATTTTATTTTATTTTAAATATATATTTAAAAAAATTTTATTTTCTATTTTTTTTTAAATTTAATTTTTAACTTTTTAAAAAAAATTAAAAAAGTTTTGGATCGTCATATATATCTGAATCATAACAAATTATTTGGCCAATACTTAAAAGAATAACAAAATATATTTTTTTTCAAAAAATAAATATTTTTGAAAAAAATAAAATATAAAAAATAATTTAAAGGAAAAAAAAATAGAGTTTTGAAAACTTGCTTGGTTATGAGTTTTTTTAAATAAGTTTTTGAAAAAAGTTTTAAAAACTTTATTTAGTTATGAGTTTTGAAAAAAAATTATTATTTTTTTTTTTATCCAAATCATGATTTCAAAACTTTAACCAAACGTTAATGTATTATTTCCAAGGGGTGAAACTGAAATTCACAGGACTAGAGAGAGTGGATCTGATACTATGGCTATGTTTGACATGTCTATTGGGGCTAAAATAGTCATATAGGACAGTCAAATATAATAAAATGTCATATCTAAATCATAATTATTTTATTTTTTCTCTCACAAAAGTCAAAAAAATCTAAAAGCTTATTTCAAACGAGACTTTTTATCCCAGGCTAAAATAGTCAAAAAATTAAAATGCCAACTCACATTCCAAACGAAGGCTATGATAGAATTATGAACAACCCAATTATTATATAATTTATATTGAGATTTATTACATGAGTAACCTATTTATGTTCATATGATGAATTGGTCACCAAAAAAGAGTGCTAATTAATTTAATTAAAAATGCAGCTAAAGTAAATATTTTCTAACGTCTATTTATATGTTTCCCAAAAACTTCACAAAGTTGTGCACATGGTGGACCTGATGAAATGCATTTTCATAGTGGAGATGAATAAACCTAGTTCCAACCTTTAAATTCAAAGTTGTGTACATGGTGGAACTGATGAAATTCATTTTCATAGAGGAGATGAATGAACCTAGTTCAACCTTTGTGCACATGGTGAACCTGATGAAATGTATTTTCTTAGTGGAGATGAATGAACCCAGTTCCAACATTTAAATTTTTGGTTGTGCACATGGTGGACCTGATGAAATGTATGTTCGTAGTGGCGATGAATGAACCTAGTTCCAACCTTCAAATTAAAAAAAAAAAAAAAAATTATGAATTCCAATTAGCTAATCTGAATTTATTTCGAATGAATGTGTATGGTTGGAATTATATATATAGCGTGAAATCTATATATAGAATAAATCTGAATCACAAGATTTTTGAATAGTTAAGTCACGCTATGTAATTTTATTCAATCACAAAATATAATTAAATATGATATTTTTTGTTGTTAAATATTTAATAAAGCAAGTCAATACTATCTTACTCAAAAAATAAAAAAAAATAAAAAAATAAAAAAACTACAATATTAATTAAAAGTAACATGAATACCATCGTCTAACAATTCTAATTACAATCTCAGCTGTGTTACTTTAGAGAAGTCACTATTCCGACTTTATTTTGTCCCAAAAATTAAATATTCTTAAAATTTTGATTTTTTCATGGAGTATAATTTGTGTGAGAAAGTATTAATGTAACTATGTATAATAAGCACAAAGAAATAAGGGTGTGTTTGATTGGGGAGATAAGGGGGGAATTATTTACTGTGCGGATTGTAATCCGCACAGTAAATCCAATACAATGTTTTTTTTTTTTTTAGTCCGCCGGATATGGAGTCCGGCCGGACTCCTTATTCCCCATATGGGGGATTATACTATCCTGGGGGGATGTGGTGTCATTTTGGGGGGATTGTTTACTATTGGGATTAGGTAATAAAATGACCATTTTGACCCTCTACTATTTAATTATGTATTATATTTAGTAAAATTCAATAAAATTTAAATGTCTCAATTTAAAAATAAAATAATTTTATTTAACTTTTTATTGATGTTTTATTTCTTTTTTTAAATAATTATTTATAGATATTTTATTTTAAAATTTTGTTTATATTTTATTTAATTCATTATTTAAATGTTAATAGATGTTTTATTAATTTCATTGTTTAATTATTATTATTTTAAAAACAAATTTATTTAAAATGTTAATTAAAAAATAATATAATGTTTTTATTGATATTTTATTTATTTATTTATTTATTTATTTATTTTTAAAAAAATAAATTTATTTAATTGTGTAAAAAATAAAATAAAATAAATTTTTATTTAATCTAGCTAAAAATAATTAAAATATTACAGATATGTTTAATATTGCTATTACTTAGCAAACAATTGAAAAAGGGTAAAATAGTCTTTTGTTCATTTATCCTATCCAGTCCGTCCAACCAAACGTTGGATTCACTAAAAATAGTCATTTTCAGACATCTAATCCCATGAAAAAAACAAACACAGGATACATATCCAATCCAACCAAATGCTCCGGGGGATTCACAGTCCCAGGACTCAAGTCCGATGGATTCTAATCCTCCTTTATTCAGTCCGTTCAATCAAACACACCCAAGTGTATTTGAAGCAAAGTGAAGCGAAAATAGCGACACCCTACTTTGGTTAATAATTCTATATGGGTGTGTTTAATTGGGGGAATAAAGGTGAGATTATTTACTGTGCAGATTGTAATCCGGGGAGAAGCATCCAATCTAATGTTTGTTTTTTTTTTTAGTCCACCGGACATGGAGTCTAGCCGGACTCCTTATTCCTCATATGGGGAATTATACTATTCGGGGAGGGGGGGTGTGGGACAATTTTGGAGAAACTATTTACTGTTGGGATTAGGTGGTAAAATGACCATTTTAACCCTCTACTATTTAATTATGTAGATTGGACTCCTTATTTCTCATATGGGTGTGTTTAATTGGGGGAATAAAGGTGGGATTATTTACTGTGCAGATTGTAATCCGGGGAGAAGTATCCAATCTAATGTTTGTTTTTTTTTTTAGTCCACCGGACATGGAGTCTAGCCGGACTCCTTATTCCTCATATGGGGAATTATACTATTCGGGGAAGGGGGGTGTGGGACAATTTTGGAGAAACTATTCACTGTTGGGATTAGGTGGTAAAATGACCATTTTAACCCTCTACTATTTAATTATGTAGATTGGACTCCTTATTCCTCATATGGGTGTGTTTAATTGGGGGAATAAAGGTGGGATTATTTACTGTGCAGATTGTAATCCGGGGAGAAGCATCCAATCTAATGTTTGTTTTTTTTTTTAGTCCACCGGACATGGAGTCTAGCCGGACTCCTTATTCCTCATATGGGGAATTATACTATTCGGGGAGGGGGGGTGTGGGACAATTTTGGAGAAACTATTTACTGTTGGGATTAGGTGGTAAAATGACCATTTTAACTCTCTACTATTTAATTATGTTTTATATTTAGTAAAATTCAATAAAATTTAAATGTCTCAATTTAAAAATAAAATAATTTTATTTAACTTTTTAATGATTTTTATTTATTTAATTTATTTAATTTATTTAAAATAATTTTTTATAGATATTTTATTGATGTTTTATTTTAAAATTTTGTTTATATTTTATTTAGTTTCATTATTTAAATTTTAATAGATGTTTTATTTAATTTCATTGTTTAATTATTATTATTTTTAAAAACAAATTTATTTAAAATTTTAATTAAAAAAACATATATTTTTATTGATATTTTATTTATTTTATTTTAAAAAAATAAATTTATTTAATTGTGTAAAAAATAATTAAAATATTAAAGATATGTTTAATATTGCTATTACTTAGTAAACAATTGAAAAATGGTAAAATAATTTTTTGCTCATTTATCCGTCCGTCTAACCAAACATTAGATTCACTAAAAATAGTACATCTAATCCCATGAGAAAACAAACACATGATACATATCCAATCCAACTAAATAGTCCAAGAGATTCACAATCTTAGGATTCAAGTCCAATGAATTCTAATCTTCCCTTATCCAGTCCGTCCAATCAAACACACCCTATAAATAATGGATAATTTCGTTATCCACACTCTCATACTATATAAACTCTTAGTTACTTTTTTTTTTTTAATTATAATATTATTTTGAAATATTTAGTTATAATTTATATATATATATATATATATATATACTTTAATTTATAGTTATAAGTCAGAAAATATAAAATTATGCGATATTCTTCTTAATTATAAGATGTATTATCCTAATTCAATTTCAATCGCATAAACAAAAACAACTTTTAGGGTACAGTTGGATGTCTTATTTCAAATTTCTTACTGCAATGATACACACATTATTTTAAACATCCACGTCATCAACATATAACAACCAAACTGAGAAAACAAAAAAAAAAAAAAAAAAAAAAGATTATTAAAAAAAAAAAAAAAAACATAAAAACAAAATAACCTTTGTCCAGGGAGCTACAAGCATCAACATGGCCATGGCCTTAATCCTTGAGATGAAAAATACGCTATACAGGCTTTTCTAGAGCAGCATACGACGGTGATGGAGCACGCACAGGGCGTGCCGGCGCTGGTGACACTTGATCAGAAGAAGAAACATCAATACGACAAGGTACACTGAACAAATCTGGGCACGATGATCTGGGCTTCAAGAAGAATTCCTTGCATTCCTCCTCCGTCTTTTGCCCGGGAAGATCATAAATGCAATTACTACCTATTCCCAACTTATTCTTTTTAATCAATTTCCTGCATTCTACCCCAACCTGCGTGAAATAATTGTCCTCCAAGCTCAGCTTAACCAGGTTCTTCAGCATACACAACGATTCCGGCACCTCCCCAAACAACAAATTCGACGACAAATTGAAAAGCTCCATCCTCTTCAAACACCCGAAAGGGTGCGGTATCGGACCCGTCAACTGGTTCTTACTCGCATCGAACACGGTCGCGAACTTCAACAACCCAATTTCGAATGGGAGACACCCAGATAGTTTGTTGTTCAAAAACAGAACTTCAACCAGTGTGTCTTTAGCTTGGCCGATACTTTTCGGGATCGGACCAGTGAACATGTTGTTTGCAAAAGTGAGGTAAAGAGCTGTGGTGGCTCCGAGATTGTCTGGTATGTTACCGGTGAACTTGTTGTTGTTGAGGAAGAGAACGTCGAGGTCGAGGCGGAAGACGTCGGGAGGTACCGGACCGGTGAGGAAGTTGAACCGGAGGTCGAGGAAGGTGAGGTTTGTGGCGGAGAGGACCGGGGTTGGGAATAAACCGGCGAGCTTGTTGTTGCTGAGGTCGAGCTCGTAGAAGTAGGGAAGTTTAGAGATGAGAGTGGGAATGGAACCGGTGAAGTAGTTGGAGTTGACGTGGAAGAAGACGAGGTCTTTGAGTTCTTCGATGAAGCCGGCGATGTTGAGTTTTGGGCCGTTGAAGTTGAAGCCGTTGAAGTTGACGCCGGCGATTCTGAACCTTTTGTCTCCGGGGATTTTGTCGCAGAGGAAGCCCACGTAAGTAGATTTGTCTATGCAGATTTTGTTGCCTTTCCAGGTTTTGGTGATGCCCTTTGGGTCGTGAGTTATTCTTCCTCTGAATTTTCCGATTGTGCGGATGGCCTTTTGGAGTATCGGTGATATCGGTGGTGGTGGGGGAGGTGGCAGCGGCGGCGGTGGTGGTGGGGGAGGTGGCGGCGGCGGTGGTGGTGGTGGTGATGGCGGCGGAGGAGGAGGAGGGCATTTTGGTATTGGAGGTGGCGGTGGAGGAGGAGGAGGAGGGCATTTTGGTATTGGAGGTGGCGGTGGAGGGGGTGGTGGAGGCGGCGGCGGTGGTGGTGGAGGAGGTGGTGGTGGTGATGCTAGTGGAGGGAGGCTACAACCGCAGTCATTTTGGTAGACAGGTGGGCTAGTGCCACCACCTAATGTGGGTTGTGGTGCTTCAGTGTTGTTTTGAGTGACTGAAGAATTGGGTTTGGGATATGCTTGTTGGAAGCATGAGCTGAAGTAGAAAAATGTCACAAATAGAATAATTGATGTTGAAAAAGAGATGTTGCCCATCTCTCTCTCTCTTTCAAATCCAAATTATGATCCAACTGGCGGACAGAAGGCGTAATATTATCCAATATATAAACGAACAGCAAACGACTTGACATATTTTTTTTCTCCCTTTCTGACAAAGACAGCATTCGCCCCGTTTGTTTGGGTGCCGTTACCGTCCGGAGTGCATTATGATTGATGAACAGTGCATGTAATTCATGTTTGTTTTGTTTTGTGGTTTTTGAATTGGTATTCCGTTCGGATTAAAATGGGTCTTGAGCGAGCAGATTAATAGTCCGGATGAAAAGATGGTATTATAAAAATAGTCTGTTGGCTTAATGAGTTGCTGGACGTTTGCCAGGACATCTAGCCGATCAATTGGTCAACTAAATTTTTTTTTTTCAACTTGTTGGGAATTTTTTTTAAACATTAATGTTTAATTTTTTTTGTATTTTTTGTTAAGTTAAAATTATAATTTTATTTGTTTTATTATTTTATATTTATTTTATATAAAAATAATTTAACAATCCATTCACTAATAAAACTAACATAATTTTACTAATCTTGTTAGCACCATAAATCTGCAATTTTTATTATTATTTATTATTTATATAATTGCAGTACGCGTGGCATACTCTTATTCATTTGGAAGTTAAAAACGACTTGACATATTTTTTTTCTCCCTTTCTGACAAAGACAGCATTCGCCCCGTTTGTTTGGGTGCCGTTACCGTCCGGAGTGCATTATGATTGATGAACAGTGCATGTAATTCATGTTTGTTTTGTTTTGTGGTTTTTGAATTGGTATTCCTTTCGGATTAAAATGGGTCTTGAGCGAGTTGTTGGACGTTTGCCAGGACATCTAGCCGATCAATTGGTCAACTAAAATTTTTTTTTTCAACTTGTTGGGAATTTTTTTTAAACATTAATGTTTAATTTTTTTGTATTTTTTGTTAAGTAAAAATTATAATTTTATTTGTTTTATTATTTTATATTTATTTTATATAAAAATAATTTAACAATCCCTTCACTGATAAAACAAACATAATTTTACTAATCTCCTCACTAATAATCTCATCACTATCAATCTCCTCCATCCTACTTCTGAAAAACTACTAATAGGTGTTAATAGTTTGACTTAATTCCCATCAAATCATATTGAAAATAAGTCTAAATAAAATTGTTGTTAAAAATAATTTTTTTGTGATAATTTTTTATATGTCACTAAAAATCGACAATTAGTGACTTTTTTTGTCATGATTTTTATGACTTGTCACTAAAACTTACAATTTGTGACTTTTTTATGACAAATTTTGCTCATAGGAATTGTTTTTTTTTTATTTTTTATTTTTATAATTAGCCTTGGCATGTAATGTTTTACTAAAAAATATCAAAAGTTTCTAGTAAAACATTACATGGTGAACTGTGTGTTTTTTTTTTTAATGACAAATATAATAAAATAAATAAGTTCTCAACATAATTTTTTTAATAGATAATATACATAAAATATCTTATAAAATAAATAATTTGAATAATTAAAATAAAATCCGTGATAAGTTTTAAGGACTTAGATAACACCCTTTAATTTATATTTGGATAGAAAGAAAGTCAAAAGTCCATAATTTTAAACCAATCAAATTATGTTTTGTTTTGTAAACTCATACAAAGTGTGACAAACTCATTTTTCTCAAGCGCATGTTCTCTTTTTTAGGTACATCGGAAAATCAAATGAACAAAGCAGGGCTAAGCCCTTTCCCTAGATCTACCTGGTAGCAAACTCTTAATTTCCACTGGTGGTTCATTGACCACCAGTATGTCCTCTGGTTATTCCGCTCCAAGCTTTGCCAATGCATTTGTGCATAGATGTCCTTTCAAAATATGTTACACAGTGCATTCACATCCTCGCATAATGATCTTAGCATCTTCCATTAATCCTCTGTATGGAGAATTCATCTATGTCTCCTTTGTCAAGAGTTCCATAGCTTGTATGGCATCAGCCTCAATAATTACTTTGCTCATACCCATTTGTAGGAGCACAATTAAACCTTTGTATATAGCCCATAGCTCAATTTCAAGGCTTGTCCCATCCTGGAGTCTACCATAATAGGCACACACCCAAGCTCCAACTTCATCTCTGAATAGGCACCCAAATCCTCCTTCACCTCTTAGCTTCCTGCAACCATATGTATTTAGCTTAATTTTAGGCGCAGGAGGCAAAGACCACTTGATTAGTTTGAAGGCTGGTTTAGGATTCACAATGGCTATATTAAAAGCCTGGTTGATCTCATTAGAAAAATTTAAAATAGATTTCACACTATCATGGTTAGAAACCACAGTTTCTTCAAAAATCTTGGAATTCTGTTTTTCCATATTTTCCAAAGACACACAACAAAAACAATGTACTCATTGACATGTTTTATGTTTTTTGCATTAAGAGTAAGCCAATCCAGCCAAGGTTTTTTTAACATTTTCAGATACCATTCTCTCCCGAAAATAGCTAACCAAACTGCTTTGGCTTTATAGCAAGTTCGGAAAAGATAGTTCATATCTTCCTCCTCCCTACAGTTGAGGCATAAAGACCTCTTTTTTCCTTCAACTGGTGGGGTAATCTCAATTTTCACAGCCAACTCCAGTCCTCCTCAGTGCCTATATTGCCACAAATGATGTTATAGGCACTTGAGGCAGTGAACACTCCATCAGGAGAACCCCTCCAGGTAGGAATATCCATATCTGAAGTGGGGTGTAACTTGTGGATGATATCTGAAATATTAGGGGAGAATATTTCATTCATCAACACCCCATCCCAGTTACCTTGCTCATTGATACTATTGTCAACATTGAGACCATCCCTCTCATTATGGTTGGACTGTTGTGCCATCACTCTTAAGTGCATATTATCATTATCATGGCTCCCGTGAGACAAAAGAATTCATAAATTTCACGTCAAAAAAATATGGACCACAGTTGTGACTTTTTTTCAGCAATGCTACGTCCCATTAAAAGTGGTGCTCTAAAGCACCACTAATGAGTTGACACCCACTTTTTTTTTAAAAAAAACAAAAAAAAACAAGACACAAAAACATTGTAGCAGTGGATCCCACCCACTGCCACATCATTAGTGGTAGCACTAATTAGTGCTCTCACTCATTTTTCACGTTTTTTTAACCTGAAAAAGTCCGTCTCACTGACAACAACGCGTGCACTGTTTAACATAATCCTATTTACCAAACTAAAGTCCCTTAAAACATGATTATGAAGAGTTTTAGAACAAATTGTTAATAGTACTTTAAATAGTTTCAATGATGAGTAAATTGAAATCTAATTTTTAAACCACAATTTCACAAAATAAAACGATCCACATACCATGTAGGGTTCACATCAACAAAATAATGGTGTGAATTCGGCAGCATTGCTGCACAGAATAATTAACTGCTCCCATCTCGAGGAGTCTTGGCATGTAATGTTTTACCAGAAACTTTTGATATTTTATTTGTATAATTTAACGCCAAACATCAGCCCTCTTCCGCAACCGCTACGGAGGTTGTGGAGAGTTAAATACTTCGACAGCAACACTGTCACGCCATAAATGTGAGTGACCACGACCATTCCCACTTATCATTGAATACAAAATAATTACTCTCATCCTCCTAGTTTCTGTCGGCAAGAGTAAAGTTGTGCAAAATATCATTCAATCAGTTAAAATCGAATTGATCTGATTCACATTAATTCATACAGCTCTAACGGTCAACCACGGTTTAAATTTTAAAATTTATAATCCGTCTTCCAAACCGTTTCGCTTCGCTATAGTTAATACATATATATTTTTTAACTTTCAATGAAATATCAAAATAAACATGAGTGCGAGAGAGATTTAAAATATGAAATTTATTACAAATTAACAGTTATATATACGAAACATATTATGTAAAATTATTTTATGTAATATATATAATATTATAAAAATTAATATTATATATTATGCAAATATATGATAATTAGTTAAAATATTTTTCAATCCGCCAATTCGACAAAAATCGCTCAACCATAATTTATCAATCCACTAATCTATCAATTTACCATTCAATTTATAATTTTACTTTCAAACAGCTGGAATGAACCCCACACACGCCCATAAGCAAGAGTGTCTTTGGGTCTACAGTGGAGGTCTCCTTTTCGAGGTATAACCATTTCAGATCAAACCTGCAACTGCATTGCATGATATTTTGAAAAGTTGGTAAAAAATTAACTTTTTAACTTTTTTTTGTGACTTTTTAATTTTTTTGTGTAAAAAAATTAAAAAGCCAAAAAATTGATTGCCTTCCCAAAACACCCCTGCATCGCTTTTGGTTGGCCTACAACTGCCTATTAATTTTATAAAGGAAAATGATATACAAACAAAAAAAATGTACAAACTGATGTGACATGGAGTGATACAACATTGAAATATGAAAGGAGGCCCAACTTACTAATATTCTAGGTGACACATTAGTTTGTAAGAAAAATTTGTTTGGAAAGTTTGTTTGTATAGCACTACTCTTTTATAAAATCATAAATAAATTAAAAAAAAAACACATTTCTAATATTACACATCCGAGAATAAAATAAAATAAAATAAACACACAATCTGATCCCAAAAACCATCAGTATATGGATAATACTAGTGATCATTAAAAAAAAATATATCATAAAATGTTTTATAAAACTTTTGAATAATGTTATATGTACTAACTAATATACACACTAGTGTACTAATATATGATGCGACATCATTTGTATAGTTTTGAATATTTATAACTTGTATAATAAGGCCAAGTTTGACATAACCTAAATAATACAAAAAGTCAAAAAGTCACTATCCTATTTAAGTCGCATCATCTTATTTAAATCACATCACCTCTCTAACACATCACATCAAACACAACCCAAACCCAACCCATATAAGCCAATAAGTCAAAAAGTGCACTTTTTTAGAACATTCCAAACCAACCCTAAATATGATCAATAATAATATCATAACACTAATTGATATACACTAATTAATACATGTAACACCACCAAAACTTTTTTATCCTTTGATTAATGCGTAATGTTTTATTGTATTTATAATTCAAAAGTAAAAAATCTTTCATAATTATCTTTATAATATTTTTTATAGAACTGGTTTTGCGCATAAGCATATTTGCTCCTGAATAACTCTAAAAGGGAAGGGAACTCTATTTTTACATAATATTTACACCCAAAACCCCCAACAACAATAACACAAGAATGAAAGATACACATTTAGCTACATCATTTTATATAAAAATTGTATAAATTTTGTATTTTTGTCATTCATTCTAAAAAGAAAAGTCGAAACCAGAAAGATCAGAGATTTGTTCTACTTTCCCTCGAAAGAAGAGTACAACCATTTTTGCTACACAAAAATGAGATAGAAGTGGTTGGAAATTTATGAACTCTACGGATATCAAATTTTCTACTAAATAAATGACTAAAGACATTTAATTATTTATTTAGTAAAAAATATGGCGCCTACATTTTCCTTTATGAACATTGCCCTCAGAAGAGATTAAAAACATGCATTTAATACACATTTATTATGGTGTGCCCTCCAAGGGTCCAACATGTTCAAAAGCTTGAAGGAGATGCCATAACTTCCATATGGGACAAATATAATACAAGAAAACAATCTACAAACAAATATTTTTATACAAAATTATGAATAACAAGAGCAGTAGTCACAAGATAAATGGAGCCTGCCTTATCCACATCGGTTGGCTTCGTGGGAGATAAGGTCAGCCCTACCAATCCCTTTTGTGGCATCCTTAATTCAAGACTACTGAATAATTTTCCTAGAATCAAGCAATATAGAACAATACATAATGAAAGAAATGGTCCATAGACAAAAAATATTACACAACAAACTCATTCAGAATGTTGTGATTATGACATTTTTTAATTATGAGCCACAATGGTGAGCTTTTTTATTTGAAATGAAAGAATGATTAAAGATCACATTCCATACAAAAATTCTATAGTTCTATTCAACACAAAGATTATTGTTATACCAAAAAAAAAAAAAAGAGTTTATACAAAATGTGATTGGGTTGTGGGTCTATAACATTAATACGAAAAAAAAACCTATCATGATGCTTTTTAATTACAAAAAATGGTACAGTCATATCATTCTGATATACTAGTATATATAAAAATTATGAAAGAATAACATATTCATACTACTTTCTCATAGCAATAAATCATATCTGATAACAATGTTCGCTTACTAGCCCAATATATGAGAAAACTTGCACAAAATGGATAATCAGATCTACTAGATATAACTAACCTTCAAATACATCTTGAATCCAATGACTGCATATTAAATGGGTAAAAAAACGCATTTTGCCCATTTTGATCAAAGCAAAAAATCAAAGTTTTAAATAATAAAAAAAAAAATAGTAACTGTCCCAACAAAGTGTAGCTTATAACAGTGACCACAGTTTCTAATCACCAGATAAAAAGAGTTGACCTATAAAAAATTGGCTGTTCTTTAGTCCATACATCCTCCGACTTCATTTAATCGGCTAAGTATATCAATTGATACAATTTGAGAAGTTATACTTTCTCATACTGAAAGAATGATAAGTTAAGTAAGAGCTAACCTGCTTCGGTGCTTTTGCATAAGAATGCAGGTCCATTATCCAAACTGCAGCTAGCTGCAACTTTTATACTACTAATTTTGCAACGGTGCAATTCATGCTCCAATTTCGTTTGCAGATGTAGAAGAATCTTTTGTGTAAAGGGGTATCCTCAGGCCCAGCTCCCTAAGCCGATTGACCATCTCATAAAGAAATTCAAAAGTGAGTATGGATTGCGCGTTGAGGTCCTCTCTCACATGCGGATGAACCCTGAACCACTGTCCCAGCAGCTTGTGCACATGAGAGCGGACGATTCTCCACGGTATAGGATATTTCTCACAGAGTTTCAAATATTCTACCGTTAAATCAGCCTGGTCTAGTTTTCCGTCTTCATTGGTTTCTTCGCTCCCTGATACCCATTCAGCAGTTCGAAACCCAGCAAAGAGAGCTGGATTCTCAAGAAGAGACTCCGCCGAGAGGACCCCATCAGCTCCCGTCTCTTTTAAACAGCTATAGACATCACCCATGTGTCTAACATTCCCATTGGCAAGGACTGGAATTCTGACAGCATTTCTAACGGCCTTGATGGCATTCCAGTCAGCCCGGAATTTCTTCCCATCTTTTTCGTCTCTTGTACGGCCGTGAACTGCTAAGAGAGAGCAACCAGCATCCTCCAACATTCTAGCATAGTTTATTGTATCTTGTAAATCTGGGAAAAGGCGAATTTTGCATGATACTGGGATATTAAGGTTTAGAGCCAATTTTTCTACCAGTGACTCAACAAGAGAGAGATTATCCATTAAGAAAGCTCCATAGTATCCCCGCTTAGCGATACGCTGAGGACACCTGCACATAAGGTAAACATAAATCTAGTTAAGCTTTTGAAATTACCGGCCTGAAACACAGGAAGACATGAGCATGCTCTCGAGAAACAACTGATACAGGCCCATTTCAAACTGTCAGTTCTGCGCAGCATAAGGGATAATTGATACCATTTGAATGGCAATTCGGACTATAAAACACCAAAGTATTAATTATAACAACACAACCTAATGCTCATTATTAACACAACAGGTAGTAATGTGTCAAGCAAGTCTTAACATCTTTAGTAATAGTTGAAGTAGGTGTACAAGCAAAAAGCTTCCATATCGACCTTGATATCAATGTTCCGTAACATGGATTGTAATAAATATATTCAATATAAATATAATCTTTGTCGAAAAAAGTATACTGGTACCAATCATGGAGTTTTTGTTATGAATTTTGCGAAAGCATTGATGAAGACTGTTAAGTAATAGCCAAAACATTGTAAAATAGATGAGTGCATAATGAGCACATGCTTTGTCTAGTGCAGGAAGTATATTACAGTCGGCAAACAAAGAAAAATCAATGAACATAGTATCATTCAATAACAAGTTTAATATCATTGAAAACATGGAAAACATCTATAATATTCAACATTACACAAACACACAATCACACACAGTTGTTTGTGTATTGAAATATTTACCAAATCTCTTATATTTGTCAGGAATATGAATGGAAACTCAACATATTAATTGATATGTAATTGCATGTATCTCAATGTTTAATAACCTATCCCAAGACCTGTAACTGACCTTGACCTTCCATTAGACAGTTTCTCATGTTCTAGTTTCAAAATTGCCTGAAGGTTTAATAACACTTGAGCATTTATAATTTGGTTCTAAAGTTCAATGGAATTATTTATGGTTTATTCTATTTTTAATATTATCTTTTAATCATGGTTGAAGAAAGTATTTCATAACATCAATAATGGTTTAGGAATTCCTTTCTAAGTCAGTAGTAGCAAAGTTAGGTAGAAATCTAGCCTGGATCTTGCGTTTGATGAAAAGCATCTCTTGCACATTTATCCAATGAATTTTGAACCTTTTTTCCATTAAGGAGCACCACAAGTAACAAAGGCAGTTGGAACTGGAAGGAAAATCACCTATGCATCAAATATGTAACATCAACTGCTAACAAATATTCAATATTTTGGGGGTCCCACAAGTTGCAGTATTTTTTAATATCAAGTACATATTACCATGCAAGTTTGAATTAGAGGTGAAGGAACAAACACATTACCCCAGATTAATATCAACATAATCACAACAATGTTCCACTCTTCGTGCTGCTTCCAACAAAGTATCTGGATCATTTGCACAGAATTGGACAAATAGCGGGCGATCCTCCTGCAGCCATAATCAAATTCCAATCAGGAAATTTTTCAGATTAATATTTAAGAAACATAATTTGTTGAGAAAAGTGCACAAATATGGCCAATGCAACAATTGAAAGAACTTATTTTTCTAAATTTTTTTGGTAAGTTAAAGAACTTATATTTTGTTTATGAGGAGATCAAATGGTGCACTGATGTCATTGTCATGAAGCAAATTAAAAGTTTTTTCACTGTTTCACAAAAGGCACAGCTACTCAATTAACATCTTACACAATAACCTGTTGAAAGAGAGAGGGGGGTGAAAGGAAAAAAAAAAGAAGATGAAACACAGCATTTTTTGGAATGATTTTTGCTTGTTCATTCAAGTATACCAGCAATGGCCATTAATTGATTACGATTCATGACCCCCATCATGCCTTAATCTTTGTTATGCTACTCATTCCCAAAGCTTTATTGTATGGCTGATAAGTTTAATACTGATGCAGGGCCGGCCCTGAGTTCGTCGGGGCCTAAGGCGAATTTTGAAAATGGGCCCTTTTATATTGAAAAAAAATTCATAAATAAAACGATAAGTTATAATTTTTTTATTTGTTTGTAACCATAAAAAAATTTACTTACACATATAATTATTAAAATTATAAATAAAACAATTTAATAAAACAAAATTAGAACAAAAAAATTAGGAAAAAATTATTCAATTAAAATTGATAAAGACCTAGGTAAAAAAATTTGAGCAAAATTATTTATTCTACTAAAATCTAATAGATAAAGAAGGTAAAAATAAAAAAATAAAAAAATAGGGCCCATATATTGTATGTATTATTTTTCTTGAGCCCAAACACTTTTTTTTTAATATATATTTTCATTTTAATAAATATGGACCAAACTACACTTATAAATAAATATGGAGTAAATCATACATGGACCTAAAAAAATATTTTGCGGCCCTTTAAATTGATCCTAAAACCCAAAAAAAAAAACATTGAGCTTATAATATTTTGCCAAATTTAGGGGTCCTATTTTTGGGCCAAATTTAGGGGCCCTATGTTATATATGTTTATATGTTTTACCAAATTTAGGGGCCCTATTGTTTTTTATTTACTTATTTATATATTTTCATTTTAATAAATATGGGCCAAACACATTTATAAATAAATATGGGCTAAATTATACATGGGCCCAATAAAACACTTGGGGCCCTTTAAATTGATCTTAAAACCAAAAAAAAAAAGAAAAGATTGAACCTATAATAATTTTTAAAATTTTGGGCCAAAATATGGGGCCTAAGGCACAAGCCTTACCTGCCTTAGGGCAGGGCCGGCCCTGTACTGATGGTACTGCTAATCGTAGGCCCACACTTTCAATGTCGTTCCCTGATCACTGAGCCCACCGGGCTACCTGCACAAAAGCCCAGCGGGAAACGGGAGTCCCCCAACGGACCCTCCGACGGTCAAGTTAGAAGAGAGAGGGGTTAATGGCGAATGATAGGAGAATAACGATAGGGCGCTTAACCTTTTTGTGTCTTGGAAGCCTCCTTCCTTTGTTCATTATTTCCTTGTCTACTGTGACCTGTCATGTTGGTTGAAAGTCTACGCTCTAGCTTGCCTTGTTCATGGTGAGGTTGCCTACTCCGACGTGAAGGGATTACCGCATTTAATGCTGTAGGGGTTTCATTAATGGCTGATGTGTGGTGCAATAACTCTGCAGGATCTTTGTCTGCTTATGTGGCTGGCTCTCCTCTTGACAAGTGTTTAGATGCCATTGGTTCTTGGTGTAACGTTGGGTTCCAGTAGTGTTGGGCTTTAGTGTTTAAACCGTGTATTGGGCTCTAAGTGGTTAGCCAAAAATCTCTATGGGCCCACCGATGTCAGTAGTTCCACTAAGTTTAACCAAAGCCCAAGGCAACCTCTGCATGTGCATACTCCTCACATGTTTATACACAAAAAGCGTACAAAGCGCACCAAAGGCGCATGTCTCAAACTATGATGCGCAAGCCTTTGGGGAGTAATGCTTAAAAATCAAAGCATTGATGCGTTTTACCTTAACCTCAAGGTGAGGCGAGCATCGAGGCGAGCCTCAAGAAAGCCTTTTAAAACTCTGCTTATGTGGCTGGCTCTCCTCTTGACAAGTGTTTAGATGCCATTGGTCCTTGGTGTAACGTTGGGTTCCAGTAGTGTTGGGCTTTAGTGTTTAAACCGTGTATTGGGCTCTAAGTGGTTAGCCAAAAATCTCTATGGGCCCACCGATGTCAGTAGTTCCCCATTCCCAAGTGCAGCTTCAGTCCAATGAAGGGAATAAGAAGGAAGACGAGGATTGTGGGTGGCCGAGTGAGAGAAGGGCTGACCGCGAAGGGCAACCAGGAAAGAAGACCGACCAAGAGAAAGGCCGACCACAAAGGGGGACCGAGCAAGAAGACCGACCGAGAGGAGGGCCAACTGCAAGGGGGACTGAGCAAGAAGACCGAGCGAGAGGAGGGCCGACTGCAAGGGGGACCGATCAAGAAGATCGACCGAGAGGAGGGCCGACCATAAAGGGGGACCAAGCCAGAAATTGGCGGCGCGCGGGGCTCGAGGAGCGGCGGGCACGTGGTGATGTGAAGTGGAATAGACAGGGAAGGGGAAAAGGGTAGTGAATTGTAGTCGTACACGTGGCGTGATCCCGTGATAAGAGAGGTGATGCGTTAACAGGAAACGAAGGGGTAGGACTCATACAGGACATGGAAAAGGCGAGGGCGGAAACTTTCGAAATTTTTCAAACTAATGAAATTTAATCTCGATCCTTGGAATATAGGCAAACTGTGGGTATTTGGAGTTATTCGTTTTACTTACCTTTTCGCGAAAAACCAACACATTCTAGAGTTGAACTCATTTGTTTCGTGTGACACGCCTTTGCAACACTTTGTGAACTTCTTTGTGCCAGCGTCCGAAACGGTACGCAAACACGTAGAAGGGATGGCTCTAGATGAAGTGCCAGCCATGAGACTAGAGGCATTGGGAAAAGACGACGCAGTGGAGTTGGCCAAACAATACAGAGCAGAGAGTAGGGAGGAAAAGGGGATGGGGCAAGCGGCGCTGGCTCGCCCAGCGACAATGATCATAGCCGCTAGGCCAATTAGCCAAGTAGAATCGGACCAAGGAATTACAAGTCTACGTTTACGGCGGAGGAGTTGGAGGAGGTACAAAGGAAGTACCAAATTCCGGCGGAGATAGATCTGAAGTTGCCTACGTCTAAGGAGAGGGCATTGGATGCACGACCGACGGAATTCATGTTGTATGAGGCATTGCCTGGGGGGGCTGAGGCTGCCACTCTCCTAAATAGTGGTGGACGTACTGAATTGACTGGAGGTGACTCCAGGGCAGCTGATGCCCAATGCATGGAAAATACTAATGGCCTGCGCGATCGCATGGCCACAGGCGACCGGGGGGGTGGCTATGACGGTGGAGGAATTCTTCTCTTGCTACAAGGCCTCTGGCCAACAAGAAACGTGGGTGACCTTATAGGCGGTGGCGGGCCGAGGTCTAGTGGCGGGCTTCCTATCCTTGGTGAAGAGGTGGAGGCCGAGATGGTTCTATGTGTCAGCAAATGGTAGGAGGAGGGTTCGCATAACTTGGAAAGTCCCCACAAAGTCAGTGGAGCCAAGGCTAGACGCGGAGGCTGAGGACAGGGTGAAACCGGTGAAAGAGTAAAGGGAGAAGAAGGGTGCGAAGTGGGACAACCTGATCCAACCTTCAACCCTGTTTGCCTTGAACCTGGGACCGCTGCCGACTGGGGAGGATCCTGCGCGGAAGGAGTTGGAGGCAAAGAGGAAGGCGGAGGAGGTGGAGGAGCGGAGAGCATTCGCCAAGGCGGACAAGTATAAGGAAACGCAGTTGGGGCCTGCACCCAAACTGGTGATGAGGGAGCGGGTCCGACCACAACCCAAACTGTTGGGAGACAAAGATCTAACTGACTTTGCGCCACTGCCGCCCCCAGTGGATTCTCTTAAGGAGCAGAGCAAACAGGAGGTGAAAGCGGCGTTGAAGAAAAAAAAGAAAAAGAGAGCAGCGGAGGGGGGCGAGAGGGGTCCGTTTGTGAAGAAGATGAAGGATGGGAGGGGGAAAGAAACCCCAAAAGTGGAAGTGGGGGAGATAAGGGTGGTAGAGGAAGAAGTGATGGGCCCAAGTGTCCAAATGGAGATGGGAGCGGTGGAGCCAGAACAAAGGGCGCAAACACTAAAGATGGGGCCTGTATCAGAAGTGGCACCAAGTCCTGTAGAGGGGAAGGTTGGAGTGGACAAGCCAGATATGGGTACTGCACTAAAGACCGCTATGTACCACGTGCACGCGGTGGTTGGTCGATTGGCAAAAGAAAAGGGAGAAGCTAGAGTCGCAGCCGACCATCTCGTTGGAGTGGTGGAGGATGTGGCCGTGCGGTCGATGGCTCGATTAACAGAGGCCGACCTCCTGAGAAGGTTCTGCTCGGCCCAGATGGAGGCGGCGAGACCTTAGCGGCTGCCCTGATGAATAAAGCAGTGCGCGCGAAGGTAAAGGCAGAGCCGCTGAGGGCCCAACTGGAAGGGGTGAAAGTGCAACTGTAAAACCTAAGGATTGAGACAGTGGGCTGGAGGAAAGCCGCTCGGAGTGCGTGCGCAAAGGGGCTGGAGTATGCGCAAAGGGCAAAGAAGATGAAAATACCGGCGGTGGTGTAGAGCTACTTGGCAGAGCATGCTGGCGCCGAGATCATCGTGACCAAATCAGAGATGGAAGCGGAGCGCTACAAGGTGGTATCACTGGAGTTCGAGTTGGCGAGCGAGCATAGGAAGCTAGACCTGGTCCAACAAGCATGCACCACTGCCAATGAGAGGTGGAAAAAGGCCCGTTCCAACAACGAAGATCTGCGCGACCAGGCAATCAAGGACAAAGAAGAGGCAAATGGTCGGATCGTAGAGTTGGAGAAGACACTGGCAGAAGAGAAGGCCAAATTGGCATCTGAGAGGGCGGCGTACCCCAACTTATGCGTTGCAACCGTGGAGCA